CATGGTGCCTAGGTCTAGTTTTCTTTATATTTATTCTGTTTGAGGTCTGTTGAGCTTTCAGGATCTGTATGCTGATACCTTCTGTGAAAATGAGAAGTTTTGTGGGTTTTTTTCCTCCTCTGTTTTTCTTTCCTGTCCTTTTGATATTCCAGTTACACATGCTTTGAAATTTTTGATATGTCCCATTGACCCCGGAGGTTCTGTTTATTTTTCCTTAATTTTTTTCCCCTTTGTTTTTCAGACTGAATAATTTGCATTGCTCTGTCTTCCAGTTCATTGACTTTTTTTTGCCTCCTCTGGTCTACTGTTAAGTCCATTCAGTGAATTTTTTATTTCATGTATTATAGTGTTCAACTCTAGAATTTCCATTGGCATTTTTTGTATTTTCTGTATCACTGATAAGATCCCCATCTGTTCAGCTATCATGCAAATATTAATATTTCCCTTGAAGTGCTTGAACATATTTATACTAGTTTAATGTCTTGTCTGCTAACTGCAAAATCTGGGCCATCAGAGTCTCACTGTGTTGCCCAGGCTAGAGTGCCGTGGCGTCATCCTAGCTCACAGCAACCTCAAACTCCTGGGCTCAAGCAATCCTTCTGCCTCAGCCTCCCGAGTAGCTGGGACTACAGGCATGCGCCACCATGCCCGGCTAATTTTTTCTATATATTTTTAGTTGTCCAATTAATTTCTTTCTATTTTTGGTAGAGACGGGGTCTCACTCTTGCTCAGGCTGGTTTCGAACTCCTGAGCTCAAACAATCCGCCCGCCTCGGCCTCCCAGAGAGCTAGGATTACAGGCGTGAGCCACCGCGACCGGTCTGGGCCATCTTTGAGTTGGGTCCTATTGATGGTTCTTTTTTTGTTTTTAATTTTAATTTTTTTTATGAGTATGTGTCACCATTTTCTGTTTCTTCACCTAGTGACTTTGATCGAATGCTGGATATTATAAATGATACATTGTAGAGATTCTGAATTCTACTATATCTCTCCAAACATGTTTTCTAGCAAGCAGTTATCATGGCTGAACTCAAATTTCCAACTCTGTCTCCCCTGCAGTGGGTATCAGTGGAAATCTCTGCTTAATCCTTTTGGTTTCTGCTTCTATGATATTACAGAGTCCTCTGAGGTCTCCCTTATGCTATGTATAAATGAGGCAAGGGTTGATAAATTTCAGATGCAGATTTTGTGGCCACTGCCCTCTGCTATTACTTCCTAAACTTATTGGCTGATCTTCTGGTCCCACACTCTATCCTCTGTCCTGTTAAGCCAGTCCACTGAGGCTATGGCCTTCTACCCCTTGATCTGCACAGATTGGGGAATGCCTTCAAGCAAAAAGCTAACAAATTTGCTACTAACTGGAAGATACCCTTAGGTGAAGCTTTGTTTTTCAAGGTAGACTCTAGTGTCTTAACCCTTCTGCCATCTTCTCAAATTGTTTCTATTGCTTTTGACATATAATTTTCTTTGGACCCATAAAATATTGTGGGAAAGAAAATTAAAGTACATCATTTATACAACAAAATTAAACTACATTATAAAATCACCTTTAGACTAGATTATTCTATAAAGAGTTGTTTACTTTAGACATACAAATACAATTTTTTCATTTCAGATATAACTTTCAGAATTTTGAAGAAAACTAAAGTGCACGAAATCTGTGTACTTTACCTAAAATAATTAGAAGTAACTATGTATTTGATTTTATAAATACTTTCATTAGGGCAACTGGTAATATTTGTTTGAAACTAAGGGTTTTTACCTACTGTCTTCTTTATACTTTCCTTCAAAGGAAAATTGTAGAAAAAGCTATTAAGATCAAATCTTTGCCTTAAATACTTATAAGAGATTTGATTTTAGAGCAGCAGAAGTTTTGAAAATTGCTAAAAAAAAATAGAGAGGTAGCAGTTAAAGAACTAGAATAACTCTTTAAGTGACCCCTTTTAATGACCAAGATATCAAGCTTGAAAGTAAAGCATATTAGCTTCCATTGGCTTTTGGTGTTTCAATAGCAAACTCCTAAAAATCTAGATTTCAGGGTTATGAGATAGTTTTGATAATGCTATTATCCCCACACATTTCAAGAACTAAACTTAAATGGTAAATGCATTTCTTTTTCCAAAAAAACAGGATGCATGCTTAACAAGTCTATCATCATCATCACTTAAAGAAAGCCTTGAAGATTCCTTTTCACCAGGATCTGAGGGAAAAGCATCCATAAAAGGTGGTTATATCTAATTATTATATCTCATTTTATTTGTGAACTCCATATTACTTAGAATCCTGAAAAATAATACTTTGAATAATTACAGGAAAATATATTTGTGTTTGCCTGACTTTTAATCCCAGCTATGCAGTTAACTGTGTGGTTTTATTTTTTTACTTTTATTTTTTGAGAGAGGGTCTCACTCTGTCACCTGGGCTGGGGTACAGTGGCATCATCATAGGTCACTGGAACATCAAACTCCTAGGCTCAAGCAAACCTCCTACCTTAGTCTCTCAAGTAACTGGGACTACAGGCACACGCCACCATGCCCAGATGATTTTTTTTTTTTATTTTTTTGCAGAAATGAAGTCTCACTATGTTGCCCAGGCTGGTCTTGAGGTCTTGGGCTCAAGCAGTCCTCCCACCTCTGCCTCCCAAAGTGCTAGGATTATAGGCATGAGCCACCATGCTCAGCCTAACTCTATGATTTTAGATGCAGAACTTAATCTCTCAGTGACTCAATTTCCCTAAGTTATAATATTACCTATCTCTTAAGGGCATTGTGAAAATTAAATGATATAGTGCATTTTAGCTACTAGCCTAGTTCCTGGCACAAGTGGAGTGAGCTCTTAAGGTAAACTATTATAATGTATGTGTTGCTGTAATACTCTGAAGTACATAATAACTAGGAGGAATTTTAGAATGAGGTTAAGCTAGGTTTGAATCCAGGCACAACTACTGGGCAAAGTAACTAACCTCTCTGGCCCTGTATATTGATCTTTAAAGTGGGGAAAATAAGAATAATCTACTTCATAAGGTGGTAAGAATTAAACAAATTAATAAAACACATAAAGCATTTACAATGATACCATAGTAAGCATGTAATAAGTGAGATGTGCGAGTTGTTAACATATTTCTTAGTGCTATGATTTGTAATTTAATGAGAGCTAAAAGGCATGGCCGTTTCTAGGATTGGAATGTGTAACTAACATTTATTAAGTGCTTACTATGTAGTATAATTTTTGTCATTTCACAGATGAGGAAAACTGAAGTACAGAGATTTTGGGAAACATACCCAATGTCAGTGATGGAGCCATAGTTTAAATGTTGGGCTCCAAAGTTCTTGTTCTTTTCACTACATAGATTGATTAACAGCTTCAAAGAATTCAATCATGAATTGAGTCATAATTACTCTCCAAATGTGAATGTATAACTGTAATAATAAAGTGATTTTAAACCTAAAAAAAAAAAAAAAAACAAGAAAAAAGTGGCCCCCCCCAAAAAAAACCCCTAGTTTACCTTACCTCAAAACAAGTTCCAAAAAAAATGACTGTAATGAAACCAGCAGAATTAAGACTTTGACAACGAAGATACAGGTTTAGCCAGGAGGAAGGAGCCTGGTAGAATTGACAGTTGGTGATCCCCACAAAAAGCACTGATTTCTTTCTGTTGAGCATTGCAAAGTGTGGTAGAATCAGAATACTAGAAGTAGTTTCTAAAAGCAAAACTGAATCCTTTTATGCCAGAGCTTGAGCCTGTCCCTTGGAGCACTGAGAGAATAAGTAACAGGCCTGTCTTCAGTGCCCTTTTTGGTAGGAGAGGCAGCACTGCGTCGTGGTGGGCATGAAATTAACTAGAGACTGGCTTTCTTCTCTGTGTAAAGTTGCATTAATTCTTGGTTCTCTCTGCATATGTACAATTCAACAACTGCATTTCCAGCAGTTGTAGTAGCGTTGAGATGTGTGCTTCGCAATTACACAGCCTGTTGTTCCAGCTAAGAAACACAGGCTTTAGGATTGAACGGATATTGCCATCTCACTTGGTTGGTTTATACATCAACAAAAGCTTTTGGTGTGTCTTTGTTTTGGGGTAGTTATTCCATTATTTTTATTAACATGCTACCTTTCTAAGTATTAGCTTTATAATTGCTTCATTAGATTAAGGGTAGCTATTTTCTCTTTTGTAGATCACTTTTGAAAAAAAGGTGTATTTAACTTCAGTATGATAGTTTTCTTCATATTTTATTTTGTGAGAAAAAAGAATATAGTCCTCATTTAAAGGAAAACAAATGAATCTTTTATCTATCTTATTAATTCAGAAGGAGGTTTTAATACCGTTAATCTATCTCAAAATAGATCAGAATGAAGAATTCACTGAAAACCATGAAGATTCTCTGAAATCAGATGAAAAAGAAGAGAATTCATCTTCGATAGACTTGGTCACTACTGCTTTTGAGAAATCTAAGGATAGTCAAGTGACTGATAATGACCTTGAAGAAGAAAAGGAGAAAGCTGAGCTGAGTATGAATGATGACTTAACAGTTGATCCACTATTACCTAAATCTCAGAGTATCTTAATATCTACCAATGCAACAGAATCTGCAAAGGTATTTGTATACATTTACACCTTTTATACTACAACTTAAAAGTTGAAATAGAACTTTAAAATATTTTATCTTCTGTGTTATTTACTTCTGAATTACCTGTGGAAAACTCGTCTTTTGATACTGGCATTATATTGTCAAGTGGTTCTTACTTAATTCAATAGAATTTTAACTTCAAGGAAAGTTGGCAGTGAAGATAATGAAACCTAATGTTTCATTAAAAATTATCAGAAATATATGATCATGGTGGGGCGTGGTGGCTCACACCTGTAATCTCAGCACTCTGGGAGGCCGAGGTGGGAGGATTGCTCGAGGTCAGAAGTTCGAGACCAGCCTGAGCAAGAGCGAGACCCCGTCTCCATTAAAAATAGAAAGAAATTAACCGGACAACTAAAAATATATATAGAAAAAATTAGCCAAGCATGGTGGCGCATGCCTGTAGTCCTAGCTCCTCAGGAGGCTGAGGCAAGAGGATCGCTTGAGCCCAGGAGTCTGAGGTTGCTGTGAGCTAGGCTGATGCCACCGCACTCTAGCCCGGGAAACAGAGCAAGACTCTGTCTCAAAAATATATATATATATATATGATCATAATATACTTTTAAATATCTCAGAAATACCCATACTGCATAGATTTCTATAGGTCTTCATATTTTTAAAATATAGCTATCTGAAACAATTTCTGAGGTTTTGAATTAAAGTGGTTTTTTTGGATATCATTTTAAAGCATTTTAACAATTTTAATGAAAATTTTTAAATATTTATCAACATCCATGCTTTTTTAAAGAGATGGACAGTGTCATCAAGAGCGTTATTATTATAATCTTAAGAAACAAATTTTTGGTGTGTAGATTACTTATCCCTACAGTAAATTGTGCCTGAGTACTATATTTTTAAAATTTATGGTATATCATTTTTAGTTTTTGTTTCTCCTGAATTTAGTCTTTATCTCTTATAGCAGCAGTTAGCTAGCAGCTATGTGTGTGTATTCATTATTAGGGGAAGAAAACAGTCCTAGTTGCAAACTTGTTTAGCAGGACTTTTATAATACAAAATATTAGCTTTTATTAAAATTTATGGAGAAGGTTCAATAAACCATGTTCCAGGTGTATCATCCTTAGCTACTTTCCCTAGGAGAAAACACGACTGCCAGGTTAGGGGTGTCACCCTACTGCTGGCATACATCTATCTGTGTAAAGTAGAAAAGTTACTCCTTAACAGAAATAAGGATATTCTGGAGTTTATAGACAGGATCTTGGAAATGTCAAATAGAGGTAATTCTAAATTAGAACAGGCAACTCTAATTTAGAATTAGAAAGTAAGATCATAACATTATTTCTTTTGACTAGACTCTTGGCTTTATTCTTACTCTCTACTGAGTGATCTTTCTTAGGTCCGAATCTAATCATTCCCCACTAAAATCCCTTTGTTGGTTTCTCATTAGGAGAATAAGACCCAAATCCCTTCCCACCACCTAATGATCTCACAGGCTCTTCTCTGACCACACAGCTCTCCACTCTCCCCACCATTCCCTGTGCTTCAGCATCATTCACCTTTTCTATTTTTTAAAAGTATCAAGTGCTGTCCCTTCTAAGGCTTTTAGCATTGTCGTTTCTTTCTTTCCATAGACCTTCACGTGGGCCCTTTCCCACTCATTACTTCTCTCCGCTCTGATGTCGACCCCTCAGGGAAGCCTTCCCTGATCAACTTCATTCAAGCAGCCCCTCAACCCCCTCTAGTCACTCCCTGTCACTGTTAATCTCCTTCATGAGTCACATTTGTTTATGTGTTTATTGTCAGTCAATCCTCCTCTCAAGTTCAATATCCCTGAGGGCATTTTATTCACTAATTTGTTCCCAATGCCTACTGTGTTTGACACAGGGTAGGTAGACGCTTAAAAACTACTAATTTCCTGGCAGTTTGGCTTTTAACACCTAACAGCAATAGTTACGGTGAATAAACCATCTATGGCATTTTCTGTTTAATAGAAAACAATCGAAGATAGAAATGTGAAGAATGACAAGTCAACCAATAATAGAGCATCCAGTGCATCTGGCAGGTAATCAAGTTATCAATATCCCTCTCATTTATGGGTTTGCACTCTAGCAAAGCTGGTTTTAATTTAACTTCCATAAAATAAATTTCATTTGGTGTTACTTTATTTTCTCTTACTTTCCATCTCATGAGTAATGCAGTAGTTACTTCATGATAAAACCCCTTGGTTGATTATATTAGAAGAATCAATAAAATGTTTAATTTTATGACTGGTTGTTTTAATGCCTGGAATGTTTATGTAATACCTTTGATCTCCAGGATCTTCCTTCTAGGGATATTTCTAGGGATATTTTTCTTCTTTCCCTATGGTCAGTGATTAGGGATTCTCCACACTCTACACCGCTCCTGGGTGGAGCTTTCTCCTGTTTTTCCTGTAACAGTACATATAAAATGATAATAAAGCTGAAGCCCAGCACTGTACTTACCTATTAAGTTTCTTCATCTAACATGTGAAAAATTGTACTTAAAGGCCAGGTTTTATGAACTAAGTGAGTATTAAAATGGTAAGAATCTATATAGCTTCATATATGCCAATGATAATACCTAACTCATAAGTACTAATGGAAACCTGAATCTTTTAAATTATCATTAATAAAATTATTATTAATCAAGTAGAACAGGGCCAATTAGAATTTATGGCTTTGTGGCTGAAAAATATTTACTTTCAATTTCTCTGTTGTAACTATTCAATTCTGCTGTTACAGCAGGAAAGCAGCCATTGACAAAACTTAAATGAGCGAATATAGCTATAGTACAATAAACTTTATATATCAGAACAGATGGCAGACCATATTTTCTCGCCATCCTCTGAAATAGAGGGCACTATTCTTTCTGGCTTTATATTTGGAATTGTTCATAAAACCAAATATTGCAAGAAAATGTTAAAAGAATAATTAAAATCTACTTTAATAATATTGTTTTTTCCATGTAA